ACGGAGAGGAAGAGAAGACAGAGTACACGTTCGTGGATTTCTCCCGGAAAGCACCACCTACACAGTAAACACAAAATGACGACAAGTAAAAAAATTGTTACATCGTCTTCTAGTGAAAGTTTCTACTCCAACAGACGGTTATTAATTCGATTGTGTAAAAGCACTTTTGTCATTGTCCTAGTAACGTAAAGCATTTCACATTTCTTTTCATACAAAGTGCTATTTGTAAATTCATATTCATAAGATTTTTTTTTAAAATGTATATTCAATTTTTGATTATGAAATAAAAAAAATGCCCAGTTATGAATTTCTTTGTATTGAAAATAACGGAATCTTGAAGATTTAAGATCACAATATATATCTTGCTTTTTGTAAAGAGGTCTAATGTCAATATCGTACAAAATGTGCTAAATGTTCTTGTATGTTCCATGTGCTAAAAGCATCCGAGCACTAGTGCTTGCACCTTAATCAACTTTTTTGTTTCAACATATTCATTACCAAAAAATGAATATATAATGTAAATCACTTAGTGCCTATTATTTAACTTAAATCTGAAAAAAAGTATTTATCTTTGTGAACTATCAAGCTACTTACAATAAAAAGTTCGGATGCCAACAGGCCACGATAATGAGTAAAATTATTTAGCTTGAAGATATAAATATATTATCAATGATACGATAATTTACTTATTATACTTCAGCTTTTAACGTCATACTGTTTTGTGCATCATTTAAGTTGTTTAAATTACTTTTCATTTAAATATCATTTGAACATTTTTTATAACATACATTATATTATTTTCCTTTCCAACTTTGCTATACCAGTATTTCATTCATTTGTGCCTTTTTTATATTCTTATATATAAGCTTATATAAATGGTAAATAACCTTGATTTAGAATAGAGTGGGATAGGATAAGGGATGAAAATGTGAAAGTCGATTTTTGAATATGAAAGATGTATAAAACTTGTTAAAAATAAGAGGTCTTGTGGATAAGAAATTTTTACCCGATATCGTAACGAATGCGTATGAACAGACAGACAGCTAGACGTACGGATGGACACCCTTATTCAGCAAATATAACAATATACCCTGATTTTCAAGTCACCAAATATGTTGATGATTATTTTATCTAAACATTTTACACAACTCTGTGATAAATAAAAATGAAATTGTCTAAATACAATCTATGATGACTAAGGTGTTTATATGAATGTGTCGCACTGAATTGTAGAATGATTTTGTTGTTTCATGACAAAGACCGGTTACCACAACTCCTTATTTCTCCATGGCACTTGACCCTTCCTCTGTTTTAAGACGCCGGTGTTGCTCTGCTCATATCCTTGTATCACCTGATTTGTTTTGTTTAGAGACGTGGCTGATTTAATCATTTTTCATTAAAGAATCCTATGTAGCGTCGATTTATATTTCTAAAAATAACCCTGCGTAATAGTCTGAAAAATGCGCAAACAAGGATCACCTTCCTATTAATGTAAGAAAAAAACGGGAGTTCTCCCTCTTCCTCCATAGATTTGCTTAAAGAGGAGCTTGTTATGATTAGTTATGATTTTATCTTTTAAACTGGTACTAAGGCAGATAATTTACTTGAGGAAGTCATTTTCTGTTTTAGATAATAGTCCTGGCAATCAAACTGTCTTTTTCGCACTTATTTTGATCAACATTGATAAATTTCAAATTCTTACATACTCTTACATAACACGCTTAAGATTCGTAAGATTCCAAACTAACTTTTATATACTCAGTAGATCAGATAAAGAATACGAAAGTTCAAATCATAATTTGAAAAAAAAACTTTGAGAGCTTTTTTTATAAAATATTTTTGAACAAAAATAAATAGAATTGAGAAATAAGTTCAACTTATTTATAAAGAAGAAAGATAAATATCCCAGAAGATAAAAGACCGAGGAATGAACTGTATAATAGTCTCTATATAGTACTATACGTCCTTGTCAGTAACAAGTTTAATTTTCTTCCTCGTGAACATATTTATCATGTATAAAGCAGAACAGAAGGAAGGAATATAATCATTTTTATCAAAAGGTTCAGTTGTTCATGGAACAAGGTTTTCATTGAAATTGGAAAGTGTGGATTGTGCCTACGTCATTGGGCAAAGAAAGTGAAAAATGGGCAAATTCAAGCTTCCATGCATTATTTCATTTTGGATATTTTGTTCTGTTGAAGGTAAGCCAAAAACGTTATTTTACTATGGATCTGACACTGTAAGTTTAAAGCATATAATAAATTGGAGTAAAGTAGCTTCTTCTCGTTAAAAGAAAATACAATGTAGCATATTTCACACGTTTTATGGATATATTTTTATTTGTTACTGACAACATTTAAGGCAATTTCTGTCGCCATACTTTCTTAACTGCAAAGCTAAGAAAATTATTTTCTGTCATTGCTAAAGATACATCGTGTTGACAATCTTAAACGGTGCAAAGAAAAAGATATAATCTTAATTTTATAATATCTGAGAGATTTTTAAAAATTAAATTTAATGCTTTAAATAAATGTATTAAATGTTATTATACTATTTTAAAAAAAAGATGATGATAAAGATGTAGCTTGTTAAATACAGACGACAAAAAAAATTGGAATATAAAAAACTATTGATTAAAGATCTAAAAAAAAAATTAATAAAATCCATAGTGTTTCAAAATCCATAATTTAGCAAGTTTGAAATTAAGATGACTAAGAAGTTTTGCAAAAATCTTAAAAATTATTATCAGACATTGGAAGAATTAAATCACATGAGTAATATATCTCCAAGGAATCTTATTCTAGTCACTTTTTAGTAAAATGTTAAGGGAAAAGCAAAACAAGTGTCTGATTTGATTCCTTAATCGTGTTGTGCATTGAGGGATAACTAGAAAAGAAATATTATATATAACTTAACCATTACATCTTCTAAAATTAAAATTTAAATGTGGTTAATGAACTTCATACTGGGAGATAATAGAAAATTTTACATGAAAGGGTTGAATAACAATCTAAGCCCGGAGCATGATAATACATATCTATTTAATATACCTGCCAGTGTCAATTTGAGTTCCATATAATGTAATTAAGTAATTATAATATGAGTTATTGATAATTGAATGATTGGACACGTTTGGATGGCCGGCGTCGCTTTTTCTTTCAATTTTAGAAATGTTTTTGATTTGATTTGAACATATTTTATTATCTTATAAATACATAAATGGATCGGGCAGCATGGGTAGCCTATATAAGCCCTCTCTACAATTAATGAAACAACTATTTAAACATACTTATTGCGGTTTTCGCTTTATATTCTCACTGTTCCTTTAGTTAGCGATACTAAAAGTGTCAGAACATGATGATTACTACTTTTTTTGTGATGCATTTAATTTTTGGTAAGCTTTGACTCGTTTTATGAAAAAATAATCATTTTAATATTATTTAAAAGTATATAGCATTTTAACCCTGGTCCATGACCACTTGGCGACCTTTTATCAAATCATTAAGTTCAAACAATAAAATTAAAAATGTTCTGACTGGGAATTTCATAAGTAATATGTTGGAATGTTATACATATATCTTGAGCCATTCATTTTGACAAAAACGCCATTGTCCAAGATTTTTAAACCTTCGATTATATTACATCGTGATATGCTGATATGTTTAATGCGATTAGATTGCAATTTTAACTTTAAAGACGAGGACAGACCAGATCTTCTGGAAAATACAATAAATCAAAATCAACTGTTTATTTAATTCCAAAGTAAGTAAGTATGAAACACTTATATGTGCACAGCTAACGGCATTAAAAAGATACATATGAGTTTATACATGTGGAGACTGTCTTTCATTCTTTCCTGAAAAGACAACTCTTGTTTTTCTGGTTTCACACATCTAATAAACAAGCACATAAGTAATATAAAACAAATACATGTTTGGGATGAAAAAAAAAGAAAAAAAAATCCACATTGGAAAATTTTATTCATACATGTACATGTAAATCAAATAAGTACAAAGCAATTAAATCAATTAAATGATTGAAAAATCTAACTTCTTCGGCTAGAATTCTTACTCCCAAACTATTTATACAGATTTACCATCATGGCAATAGACAGTAGACCTAACTCAATTTCTTTTTATATATATCTCAATATTAATTATTACGAGGGCTGTTCTTAAATTTCGTAGACGATCTCAATGTCCGTTATATAACTCACAAAAAATTCAAAATAAGCACATTGTTATATGTAAAAATATTTATTCTGATTTGTTGATGTGTGAAGTTTCATTCCATTCGATTTAACTGAAATTAATTTACTTCATTTGAAGATCAACATATTTTGTGCCCGCTGAGCACACTTAACGGCAATGTAACGTCAAAACACAGGGTCAAAATTAGAATTTCCAATAAATAACACCCCTATACATTTCACTCAGTATAATCCATCATCTATTCATTAAAAAACCTTTTTCTAATACATGACATTTTTTACAATTGTTCTTTTTGTATATTTTACATTGTATTTGTAACTGGTGACTGTTTGTAGATAAAATTATAAATACACTTTCATCGACGATTTCAAAGAATAAACTTCAATTATTAAAATATATTATTTCTTTATTCTTTGGATACTTACAGCCACCGTAGAGGGCAATCCAAGCCAGGAAGTAGCCCCACGAGCAGTCCAGATAGAGAATAAAGTTAATCATCACCCCGAGCGAGTTTTCTCCTATGATCAAATAAGTTCATATACACCGCAAAAAGGAACATGGCACTTTGTTATGTTCTTAATTTCCCTTTATACTTAACGCCGCTTTCACAGGATCAGCAACATTATAACGCTTATGTATTTCCTTGATATTCATACTTTTGAAATTTTTGTCCAGATTTTTACATTTAAACCATTTCTTTACAGATTTTCTTCTTCTGATAGAGTCTCTGTCTCATAAATACTGCCTGTACTATGAGTACACTCATGCACAACTCGCTTGTGACATATATATACATTTTATTCCTCAAACATTTTGAGACTTTATTCAAGATTTTTCTTGAGTAAAACACAAAATTACATCAATATCAGCTGCTCCATGACGCTATAAAACGTCATCATTTTCGTCCTTTTCAATGCGGATTACCTATTTTCTCAAGTCGATTCCTTTACAGCTGTAAATGGGTGTCCGGTAAAGATGAAATGAGTCCGTATTTGGATGAAGATAGGTTTTATTGATGTCAATAAATGGTACATAAAAACCCTGTGAATAAAATAGTCAAATTAATAACAAAATAAAATGAAATACTTATACCGTAATGCGGCATTTATTTTATCTTTTATTTCATCTTATATCAAATAGTAGATGTGTCTAAATTAGATACAACTATAGCTTTATGGTTTTATATTTTAGTCTCTGACCATAGCGTTATGGCCATTGACTAAAATATACGGCTCGTTAAACCTTATAACGCCACTGTTCGATTCAACAGTCAAGTCTCACTGCACAAATGTACCCCTTATAAATGTAATGAAATATATATACCCTTGAATAACTGCAGTGTAGAGACGATTCATAATATTTCATATCTAAATATAATCAATACAATGCTAGTATTCTTTCTCAGCAATGATCTGACAATAAAAAAGTCAACATACATGTTCCACAAGTCAACGATTAGACAATATAATACTCCATATATACGTATACGTTGTTTAATGTGAAAAATAAGATTATATATGTATTTGTCAAAATGCAATCCAAATTTTTTTTTTTATTTCGTTTTAATACATAAAACATTTTTTTTTTTAATTATCCTTTTATCAAATGACCCATTTGTTGTAAATATATTCAACGATTTCTTGACAGTTAAATCATAAGAAAGGGGAGTAATCAAATGTTGAACCCGCTTTTGATTGGTTAGTTTGGATTTTGAATTTCGAAACTCGAATTTCGAATCTCGTATTTCGAAACTGGAATCTCGAGTGAGCCTTCTGGGCTTTCGTTACTTAGGGCCATTGAGCAGCGAGGGATCTTTGTCGTGCCAGCACCTACTGCAACACGGTACCTTGATTAATATTGTCTCGTCCAATGGATTGGTCTTCACGTCCTTCACTTCAGGATTAATGCGGTGTACTTTCCAAGAAACATCATTTCCCCTTCGTTACAATTCTGAATGAAGAGAAAATGTCTTAATTAATCATTTTTTGCATTAATGCATTTTTCCACCGATCGATCTCGTAAATATGAAATATTTAGAATAGTTTGTGTTTGGGAATACTAGACGTATATAAGACTCGGACATTTAGGACCAAGACAACGCTTAACTATTGCTTCTTTCCGAAATATACGAGGGCCGTTCAAAAATTACGCGGACTGTGATAATATTTACTCTTACAGACGTCATAGAGTTGAAATTTCACAGAAATATGTTTCTTAAAGATTCTAATAAATTTTGTAAAAATTTCTGTATTTTAAATAAATTCTACTAAATTTATCGGTATATTGATATCGCTGATGGAGAGGTATGGAGCACGACAAGAAAAGTGAAGCAAAAGCATGCCAAATCCAAAATTTAACTCATTGATTTTCTATAACTCGCGATATTTTTAACAGTTTTTTTCAAATGTTTCTTTAAATTGTTATATTTTTATGATTATGACATGATATTTGAAGTACTAACAAAAATATATTGATTTTTTCCCGATGCGATTCCCGTTAAAACGACTGTGAAAATGACGTCTCCTTAATTGACGGAACACACACTTTCGTTAAATTATGTGTAATGCTCGAGATATGGCCAACATAGATCTATAATATGTATAATATAACATGTAAACTAGGGTATTCGTGACATTCGTCCACAAATAGCAAATTGGCATTTTAGACCGTTAGACCTCTGTAAAAAGGCTATACGGGAGGACGGAAAGAAGATTATGGACAAAAACTTCATCCGGACTGTAAAGAACGTGAATGGGAGTCAGCAACATTACACTATATCTCATAAATACCTGCAGTTTTTTGTTTTAAAACAAAAAAAATAATATTCTTTACTTGATTAGTAGCTTTTAAGCTTGACAGGAACTGGTGTTTGGATGTTGAATAGAAAGGTACCTCAAACTGTACAGGTACTCTTGGGAAAATGTTGAGAAAATGAAAGCTCAATCACATATTTTATAATGCCTGTGAAGTCGAAGATTTTGCTGCTCCGTGACTTAATGATATGTCCTAAAAAATCACTTAAAATTGATACTAATTTACATCATTTTGATGTGAAATTTTGAAGACCATTTAAGTAAAGATTCTTTAATAATATGTATGACATTTTGCCCGAGAATGTCGTCAAAATTTTTTTCTGTGCAACAAGTCCGCATTATTTTTGAACGGCCCTCGAATTTGTTTTTTGAACATACATCTTAAAAATACCGGAAGAAAGACGTAGCCATCTCTTCTGACGCTGAAGCAGTGAAAATCTACACCCCCATACTCTGAAAACGCCTCCCACATACTTTATAGCGACTTACCCGCATAACTGGTTGTATGTGGTGCTATAACCTTTGAACGGGTCAACAATCACCACGTATCTTAAGTAATCTCACTCTAAATATGACACACACTTTATTTTATACAGGACAGACATTTACCATATCGACTGAGTTTATTGATGGAAAACTGATATTCAGATGGCCAAATATTACAACAAACACTAACTATATAATGGTCTATAAGGATGGTCAATCATCTAATTGGACAAAGACCCGTGATGACGAATACATAGTTAAAAATGTATCGAAATATACAACTGTAAAGATCAACGTACTGGAGGATTACCAGGATGGAAGAAGGAACTATACTAAGACATATGCACACAACGGTTAGTTGTATTTTTTTCTGAATTTCCATAAAATGATATTTTTGATATGAAATATGAAATGAACAGTAATCAAGCTTTTTACTCCATTAAAATAAAAACAATTGTGAACAGATCAAATGAGGACTTAAAAAATATCAAAGGTGGGATCAGTTTTTCATGAAGCATTCGTAGTCGACCAATCACGCCAGTGTGCTCGTGAAAAGATTCGGCTAACTAAAATTTTCGTTAATAACTCAGTTTCAAAATAACCGTCAAATAATTTGTATAGAAAAATATAGATTAAACTGTATTTGCTAGCAATGCCGTAGCAAAATATCCAAATATGAAAAACTTTGTAAGACTCTGGTGTATTTCGAGTTCAAATTGTGTATTAAATATTTATTTGATAGATATTATTAAGTGAGAATCAAAAGTATATATAAACACTAACGAGAAAAAAATCAGGTCTACGTAGGGACACAATGTGTCCTATAAAATAGTAAAAATAAATCTGAAACGTTGACGAAATATGACCTAATTAAATGAAAACGTAGGTATTGTATTAACTAATATCTTAATAGCCATTAAAAGGTAGAAAGAGCTTACAATTAAAATAATTGTTCGAGTCTTGTGATTCTTGAAATCTTTTGCATTGGATATATTTTTGTGTACCAAAAACTGGATTTTTCTTAAATTATATACATATCTCCAAAATGTGTATATAATAAATTATATAATAGTCACAGTGTCCGGCGAAAAATATTTAAAAAAGAAAAAAACGACAACACAAGTTGTAAAACGTTAGCACTTTCATTTCAAATTCTTCAGACGTTTACCTTCAAGACGTTGTCAACAATGCAATGACGTCACAATTTATGTTCGGGAAACAAGCAAAAGCGTATATATATAACATATAAAAAAGAAACATAAACATGTCCAGCAATTCTGTATCAATTAATTTTCAAATAACCACAAGACTAGTATACATGCATTACAAGCACAAGTTGAAACACATATTATACTTTGTCCAATTTTATATCCATAGAATCATTCATCTAACAAAGAATATGGCTTTGACTCACCAAGTCTGATCACATGGCAACAGGACTAGAAAACATTTCTATAATTCTGCTGAAATTATTTTTTCTCGCCATTCCACAGTATGCAGTTTTACTACTCATCTCATACTCTAATCCCACTGTTCACAATTAACAACTCTAATTGACTTGATACAAGTCAATATGGAGGAAAACATGCTTGCCTTTAAATTCCCTCCACAATATTTAAAAAGAGGAAGTGAATGACTGAGCATGCTCAACAAATGGCTCATGGGTAATACTAGATGTTGCAAGATAGTTTTTTTTTTCTGGCAGTATTGCCAGAATGTCACCAGAAGTTGTTGCAGCTACAGTCCCTGAAACGCTGAACGAACGTTGAACGAACGGTGAACGAACGCAGAGCGAACGGTGGGTGAACGATGTGCGAACGCTGAACGAACGGTGAGCGAACGCACATATACGTGTGAAGGGTGTCAAACGGGGACAGGGGTTAAAGACTGTCAAAGTGGGGACTTCTTCATTTTTAATATTTCATTGACTTTTGACTTAAAATATTAATCACCATGTAACCCTGATGACAAATATAATGAGAACATATCAATATCTTTAATTTTAAGCTAAGCACATTTCACAGCACAAACGGGGACCTATTTCACACTCATTAATATTCACACACCAGTTCCTGTTATATTGTATCTAAACGGGGACATTTTCCAAAACGAATAAAATCCTCTCTTTTGTGCCTTTTATTCACTCATTACCACCGTTTTCATCACTGATTAAGACCCCTGTCTTTATAGGCACTTGAATGCTTAATATTTTAAATCAAATATGGAAATTACGAACAGTTATTGCATGATGAAAATATATTGTTAATTTTTCTTCTCAAATAATTTTGAAATTAAGGAATCTGTCTTAAATTTATCATCACTGACCTCTTTGTCGCAGTAGCATGATTAATGGAATTTAGATATGGTGATTGCAACATAGTTTGCAAAATTCAAAGCTACTAGTTTTACATGTAATTTATGATTTTTTGTCTCAGAATTAGAGTATTGAACAAGAAAATGATTGTCATTTGACATACTTACAACTATAAAAAATATAATAAAAGGTCTGAAGGGGGCGCTGATAATACCACTCCAAAAAAATTACCAATTTCAAAATGAAAAGAAAAAATTATATTGACCTTTTGATAATTGTCAGCTATTGAATATAATCGATAAACACTTTAAAATCAAATCCACTGCATTTACGTATACGCTTCATTTCAGAATCGGAGTACGACGACTTCTCTAAAATATCTACATTACATTGCATCTTTGATCAGGTACTTTTATTAAAAAAAAACATGAACTAAAAAATCTTTCAAAGCAAGGACAATTATTCATTTTATGTTTTACGCAGAAAACCGATGATCCGGTGTAACGTTGAATATTGACCCGAGTTGAAAATTGACCCGGGGGTCATTTTTCAACGTTGAATATTGAACCGGGGTCATTTTTCAACGTTGAATATGGAGACCAAAAGTCGTTGAATTTATACCCGGGGTCATTTTTCAACAGTTTGATATTTTTTTTTCTTACACCTAATGACGTCAACAAGTTGAAAATTGACCCTGTTGAATATTGACCCCACCTCAAAGTTTGAACATTTTTTTTAGCTGGGAAGTTGTTTTACGGGATTTATCAGTATCACTTTATTTATATTTCGGTTTCAATTTTTTTTTCCCTTTTCAAGAATAATAGAAAAAACATACAGTATCACCCCATGTATACATGTACATTTTGAACAGTGCACGCGGTTTTAGTTATCTTCAAGCATGACAACTTTATTTTTGACAATACTTTCCAAAATCCGTAGCATCCATAAATAACTACAAAACAACGAATAGGGCATAAAATAAAAATCTTAAAAATCTGCAATCTAGAAAGTAGCCCTATATATATTGATCAGGTGGGTGGAAATTCAGTATAAAAATAACAAAATTTATAGCCTAAAAATTAGAATGATCACATCGACCAAAATGATTCCAATGATAGCTTATATTTGTAAAAAGAGCAATATAGCGACCATAGTATGTAAGTAATGCTAACTTTAAATAAATTGTTGAAATCCCTGTAACAATTAACTTATTTGTCGGTAGACTGACTCGGCTTGATCGCTTTCGGACCATAACCCTGAGAATGAGATTATTCTTATTCTAAAACATTCTTACTCTATAGAATGTGATTCCTATTTGATTACTTGTTATTTCTATTCCATTATTTGTAAATTTTTTTCGATAAATTGCTATTCCAATTACAGGAAGTGTGACAATATGATTCATATATCATAAAATTTACATATTGTTTTTTCTCGAAAACACGCGTTTCCCATTCGATGTCATTAATATTTAAAACAATCGGTTGCTAGTCGCTAATATTGTCATTCCTATTCGATAATTTTTTTATTCGGTAATTATTTGGTTTATATGCAATAGAGTTGTTATTCGAAAACATACTAGAATCCATTTCTATTCGAAAAAAATATGATTCCTATTCGATAAACTTCTCATATTATTACATAATTTTATCTCTATGATCTCCTATGCGATGTTTTTTTTCTTTTTTAATAATTGCCATGATTGCATTCTGGGAAATATGACAAATTTAACTAGAATTGGTTGTAAACCCAATTAAATATAAACTAGAATTGGTTGTAAACCCAATTAAATAGGAATGTAAAGTTTCACATTATTATCGAATATAAATCATTTTATCACATAGATTGACAAAACAAAATTTGAAAATTTTGGGAATAAGGCACAAGTTTTCTCTCCTCAAGACTTAGAGACTAGGGTTCAGCATAAATTAAGCTGTTGCTGTTTAATATTAAATAAATGTGTTTCGTTTTATACATTGATGGAGTAATTATAGAGAATTTAGTTATTCAGAATGCTAATTTAATTATTTGATTATGTCTCGTATCAATTTTTGACAAAGATATCCAATATGTTTTAATATAAAGTATATGTAGATCCTAATTAAAGACTTCAAGGCATTGTTACGTCTCATCAATTACGGAACAATAAAAAATATTAATACAAGCTCTAGTATTTTTTTTTTCAGAAACATCAAGTCATATTCTATATTATCTTTAATTGAGAAATCAATACTATTTCTGTTTTTACAAAAAATTATAGTAGTAGTAGTAGTAGTATTTATTTGGTATCATGTCATCATACATAAAACAAATACACATAATTACACATGATCTTACAAAGATGAAAGCTGGTAATCAAGATTTTATATATAAATAATTTAATTTGACTAGATAGATACCAGGATAACCCATTAAAGCTCGAGAGCTTATTTCCAATGGGGTCCTATCTTAAATAACTTTAAAGAATAAATAACAATATTCCATCATCAAAGCACTATAATACTTTTGGCACAATAATTTTAGCATACACATCTAAATTAGGTTTAAGTATGACAACATTGACATTATCAATAAAATGTAAAATATATTTATAAACTAGTACTGAAACATATCACTTTTATGTTCTAAAATGCCTTTTTGTAAGATAAAACTCTTTACTTGTTTCTTAAAAGTACTCTTTCCTTTTGAACACTTAATAGAGGCTGGTAAAAAATTCCAGTCCTTTATCTCCATTTTAACACCTGTTCTATGAGAAAACCAGGCAGGGGGATCGATGTCACTCACTTTAATGAAAGGATGAGGTGACTTGCGGCCCCCGGTAAATTGACAAAAAATTAAATGCCTAAATTTTTACTCAAATTTTGTATGTAACTAATTACTGATATGTGTGCCTTTATAGAATACTATTAATAACAAAATAAGAAACGTGATTTGAAAGATACAGATCTTTTATTGGGTTAGGGGTTTCATATTTACATTCAATTCCAGTTGTATTTTAACCCCGCCCCACTCTTTGAAGCCCTTAAAATATACGAGCTC